GTTCAATATTTTTAACTTTTGTACTTAGGTTTTATCGCTGGTGATGTTGGAAGACAATTGTGACAACAATTCTGAAAATCCCATTTTTGAAACATAGAGGTTTTAGGGTTATTTTATTTAAATTTGATATTCTTTAAACAGATTGAGCAATTTCAGTATTTTTTTTTCATCTCAATGTAGCTTATGCAATTGAGATTCCCGTCATTGTGTCTAGTGCTTCACGTTTATTTAGTCATGAAACAAAAACATATAAATATTTTCGGGGTTTAGGTTCCGATTTTTTTGACTCACACTGTATGCACACTGGACAGTTATCATTTCTAAACTTACATATTTTACAGTAGTGACTTAATCTAAAATTCCAAATATGCACACACTTTTTTTTTTCGATAGGAGATAATAAAATCCATCAGGATGTGTCGAGAAGTATTGATATTTTTATTTAGAGTGGTCGTGAGAAAATTTCCAGAAAAACGCTGCATCAACTTGCAAAAAGCGTGTATGGGGGCGGGGTTTCGATTCATTTTAGCATAATAAGATCATCATTTTAGCATAATAAGAGGTATGTCACTTATGAACAGATTCGCTGATTAATAAGGCAAGACATCGCCCCTTGATCTCCTAGATTTTGACCAATCAGCGGGCGCTTTCTATATCCGGTCTTCGGTCATTCACCCGTTGCGCATCATAGACAATGGATACAAAAAAAATGTGTCACGCGCTTAGTATCATATCGCGTCTGGCTGTTGTATTACAAACCACTGCATTCGAATTGACCAATCAAACCATTTAGTCCTGATTTAGAAATGAAATTACGTCGCGATTGAGTAAAGTCGAGTCCGATTGGCTGGCGCGCGGTTTGCATAATAATATCTGCATGTCTAGGTATATCATTCCGTGGATAACGGGTGATACCCAGACTACATGAGGGTCCGCATGAGGTGAAACACGTTGCAGATTTGGTTTTTTTTACACTCAACTCGATGTGTCGTGAGCCTCAAATGTAAAAAAAAAAAAAAAACAGGCCACAGTTGAATCCCAATAAAAATAGATATCGTCTCCTATTTTCCCCAATTTCATTTATTTGATACAAAGTCGGCTGTCAAGAGCAACTAATGTGACGACCTGGGGATCACAGCTTGAGCCTGGACTGTTCAAAGGCTTACCATTCCTTCAATCACTGTAAGTATAAGAACGTTGTACCGATTGAGGGCGGCAAATATGCACGGCGCCCTCATTAAGTGAACATGCTGTGACGAAGATACTTAACGTAATCCCTTTTTAGCTATTATCGTTCTTGATAGCCGTATTCATCTACTAAGGAATAACAGTTTTTATAATATTTTATTTATCAATATTTATCATTTTCACAACCTGGGTAAAGAACGATTTAAGGGGACATACAAACTAAGAAAGACATGAGAATAGGCGGGCAGAACATCAATTACAAAAGAGATAATCGTCCTGTCACCAACATATTTTTTTTCTCTATATACACATATAACAGCCTTAGGTATCTACCTACGCCTGTGTGGTTAAATAGAGACTGAGAACCAAATCACTTTACACTGTAGTGTAAAAGCAAAGAGTAACTTTACAAACCAACAATACGAACCCTCTTGTAGCAGCTTTTACAATATGTACCAAAATATATACTCATATTTAGAGAGTATAGTCCATCAGCTTTTCAACTAGGAAAAGATTTGTCCAGTTTGGTAATTCAAAATAAGTGTAAGTTTTTCAATCTGTCCACGTTCTCATTTGTCATTTGCTAGGAATTAAGATTTGGGGTGAGGGTAGTCTTACCTTCTTTAATGTTTTCATCGTTCCTTGTTTATTTGTTTATTATATTATTATTTTTGTTCAATTATAATTATTTTGGAAGTACTGGTAGTCCTGATCAGAACTTTTTGGTTAACGTCTCTGCCCTCCACTTGGTAGCCTTTTTCACAAATGTAGGTTTCGGTCCATGTTTTTATTACGGCAGTCCAAATATCTGTCGCCGTAGACAAAATGAAAAAGCGGTAATTGTATTCAATTGGCCATAACTAGATACATATTCACCCGAGTGGATTAATTTTCGTTGTTGAAAAGCTAATAACCATACATGTGCTCTCTAAATATGTACATATATTTGCGATGTGTTTTTTTTTTTTCAGCTGTAAAAAAAAACAACGATTAAGTTTAGAGAGTTTGGGTTTTAGACACACTGTAAAACTGGTGCTCTTACATTTTTTGTTTGATACAATATTTTGTCTCATAGATCACTGCCGCACAATTCGTTGCCTGTGATCCCACGAGGGGCTTTCTATGGCTTGCATAACCTGACATACCTGTGAGTTTCGTTTCATTTACAATTTGCGCTCAGCACAAACACGTTCTAATAAGGGATCTTACATTTCTTACCTTCTCTTTCACAACCAGTTGAGAGCCAATCTTCTCAGATGAATCTGTCAATAAAGGTGACGTCTGGTTCCTAAAATTGACACTGTTTGTCCCAAGTGAAGAAATAACGCAGCCTGCTATTTTCAACTGTGACTACATTCATGTAGGACGTGATACAATATGTATGTTGTTACCGTGCTCTCACGTCCACAGTTACTTTTTTTACTTACCCGTCTCTCCCATGTTTTTCTTGCAGTAATGTATCATTCAATAATTTCACTGAAATACTCGAGGATACGTTTTCTGAGCTCCTTCATTTAGAGGCATTGTGAGTATTACCTTGCGTCAGCTTTACCAAAGCATTTAATTTAATTTGCTTGGTTGTGATTTTCTTCATTTGGCCCGTCGGCAATCGCTCTTAGCTGTCTTTCACCGTGCTTGTTTCTAATTTTCTTCTCCTATTCTTGTTTCTCAGTTATCGAAGAAAAGAAGTATTATTAATTGCGCTTAAGTAAAATGAGCTTACGTTAGCGATGCCGTAAAACGCGTTTTAAGATATCATGATTGACTATATTCATTTCAAGATGAAATCACTTACTGATATGTTGAAATACACTTAGAATGAATACCTAGATGTCTTAGAATTAATTTTTAAACAATCTTTAATATTCCCCCGAAATAATCACACAGGGGCACATCTATTGTTAAAATAATAGGATAGATCTTGAATTAATCAAAGAATACCGCTAATAAATGTATGCTCTGAGATATGAGTTCATATGCAAAAGGACGTCATTTATTACTACGTTGTTGAATGCTGTGAGGTGGGATGTGACGTTCTAACACCCTGTGAGAGCATATTTCGCCTCGGGTGCTATATCCCATATATCCCATATCACGGCAGTCAACAATTGAATTTTGTTATATGGTTTCAATGTAACCTTTGATAACTGAAGGTATTGATACCCTGCCGAACATGAGACTGAGCGTTAGACGTTGTAGTTCTCATTGCGCAAAGCTAGCGCGCACGCAAGGCGCACAGTGAACGCAATACGATATCACCTCAGTGTGTGACATGCCTTTTTACTGTTTAGACACGGTTGCCGTCCTGGACCAGTGAAGTAACAGTATCCAAGGACATAAAATAACAATTGTCTTTCTCCATCGTGTGAGGGTACACCATGTAAAGGTCTTCGATTTCCAACTCTGTCTCATAATATGGCATTCTTTCTTTGATACTCCTCGTTACAGGGTCTTGACTGATGAATCAGCCTTGGAATTTATTGCAGAGGGTGCATTCAAGGGCCTCGTCAACGTGAAAACACTGTATGTGGTGCAGCAATATCATTTCATTTGTAGAGAAGACCTTTTATCACAGTAACCTTGCAACCAGAATGCTCTAATCCTCAAAACGTGACTGTCTGTTCATGTAAAGGATCTTACTAGAATCAGGTTTAAATCACAATGCAAAGACTTGGGTTACTTTACCTGGCATACCTTTACAGCGTTATCCTTGCATCTCTGTCTCTCAGCCTTTCGTCAATATCCCCCTAAACCACCCCTCCCCCTCCCCCAAAATAAAAAAATAAAAAATAAATAAATAAATAAATAAATGCATAAATAAATGTTTATAAATAAATAAACATAAATAAACATAAATAAACATAAATAAACATAAAAAACAGAATAAATAAAATAAAATTCCCCCCCCCAAATCTGAACTCTCATGGATGCAAATTGGACAACTCAATTCTTGGACTGTTTCCAATTCACATACTTGTAAATGATCATCAAGAGCTGAGTCAGAATATTCGGTTGAATCATTGGTTAAAAAAATAACCAAATCTAAGATCTTCACTAAATCTTCGCCAGTACGCAGGCCTACTGTTCTTTGAGGCGGTTGTTTGAAGTTGAAGTAATATATCGCCAGACCGATTACGAGTACCCTTGGATAAACAAACATAACCAAGGTTTTACCTTTGTCCAAGTTCATCAGATCAGCTTGAGTTATCTTGGGAATATATGGCTTGTGATTGATATGTGATAACGTTTGATGCATTACAAGTTCATCGACTAAAACACTCGTGTTCACTATTGTTGACGTGGTGGTAGCACCACCTCTTTCTCTGACCGTGTTTCCGTGCGTCATCTGACATTTAAACAGTGTAATAGTCTTATCATTCACAAGTCATTCATTCAATCATTCGATCTTTATTATTTTTTACCACATCTCATTGTGATCACATTACGTGACAAGGCATAAATAGTTTAAAAAAATATATTTATACAAATATTTGTTCAAACTACAGATGATCTCAAGTAAAAAGTCAATCTCAAGTAAAAAAATTATACATTTATCTCGAGTCTCGTCGTAAAGAGAACGATTACAAGTATAAGAGATGTTTCGATGTTTGTTTAAGCAGATCATTACCTAAAGAGAGAAGAGGTGATGTGATTGACTTGTCTTTGAACAGTACTTACATACCTATCTACTTGTTGTTGATCTAACAGCACATCTAATTCCGCGTGACGTTTATCGTTTACTTGTTTTAAAAGATCCCTTTGTCTGCTTTGTAGAAACAGTCGTGAGCTGTAAATAAATTCTAATATTTTCTCTTGAACACAGGGTGCTCACTAGGAACGTCGAATTTGTTGATCCATTGCTAGTGGAGAATGGTGCATTTTCAGCGTTGCCTCAAGACGTCAAAACGTAATTGATCTGTCAGTTGTATTATATGCAACTTTGTTGTTTTATCGTTTATCTTAGTCATCAAAGTGTCCGGCCTCATGTCATTAAATACTATGTTCTTGCCGGTATTTGCAAGAGTAAAACAAGGTGCATGTATAACATTCCAAAGAGCCCATTGAACATCATTCACAAACGTCAAAGGAAACACTGCATATGGTATGATGATATTAGGAAGAGTACAGACAATTAATTTTGACTGAGGGATTGTCACCTTTTTTTACGATTGTCCTTTTGTATTTGACGGTTTCTCCTTTCAGGGTTGTTGATGATTATAGACTTTGCTGCAACTTCCTTGGAGACATACCGGGATATAAGATTGCCAACTGCGAGACCACTCAGTCACAGCCTCCGCTAAACCTCTGCGGTTCTCTCATGCAAAACTACGGACTGCGCATATGCATGTGGGTCCTTGGGATGAGCGCCTTGCTTGGTAACTTTGGGATCATTGTCTGGAGGTTTTGGCACGCCGAGGGCAGCGACGTTATGAGGGTTCACTCCTTCATGGTGCATAATCTGGCCGTGTCAGACTTCCTGATGGGAGTGTATATGCTGATCATCGCCGCTGCAGACATCCACTATGGGGACCGCTACTCTTACAAGTCCCGAGAGTGGCGGTCCAGCGCGCCCTGCAAGGCTGCTGGCATCCTCTCGGTCTTATCTAGCGAGGCATCGGTGTTCTTTGTCACCCTGATCAGCATCGAGTGCTTCCTCAACCTTGTGTTTCCCTTCAGTCGGTTCAAACTTCGGCCGTCATCTGCCCGGATTGTGGTCTTGGCGGCCTGGGTTGTGGCTGTCTGCCTTGGCGTTGTACCGACTCTTGTGGTGGACCTCGACTCCGATGTCTACGGTCTTTCCGACGTCTGCATTGGGCTGCCTCTCACCACCAAGGCGTACGGAGTCCAGCTGCAGCCCAGCGACATCGACAACCCTTTTGGGGGTGCCGACACTTTACAGATCGTTTCGTCGACCAGCCAGAAGCCAGCCTGGATCCTGTCCATCGTCCTGTTTCTCGGCGTCAATTCCGGCTGTTTCCTGGTCGTCCTCGCCTGTTATATTAGTATCTTCGTCAAAGTCAAGTTGTCCGCACGGCGGGTCGGCACAGCTGCGCACCGGGAGCGGGACGTTATACTGGCCGTCAAGATGGCGTTGATCGTTGGAACGGACTTTGCCTGCTGGATGCCCGTTATCATCCTCGGAATCCTCTCTCAGACCGGGGCGGTGCAGGTCGGTGTTGAGGTCTACTCCTGGATCGTGGTTCTTGTCCTACCCATCAACTCCTCCCTCAACCCGTACCTGTACACAATCTATTCTGCCATCACCGAACGCCGTCAAAACACTAAACAATCCTCTCAGAAACCTCTGACCAACTCCAAGGCGAAATCCAAGTCGATTGAAACCGTCAACTCATTTCTGTCAGACAAAAACTCAAACTAACATTATACTTAGCCTCAGAGTTGACCATACACGTGAATGAGAAGCAACTAAGTACGCACTATAATATTCATGTATTCAAGTCTATTACGTGGTGTGTGCCGTCCAAAAAGCTATTGTACAGTGAGATATTTATATATCGGAAACTAACGCTCACGTCAAACGTGTAGATTTCCGGTTTCCTTGGAAAGAAACAGTAGGAATATTGCAACTTTTCCTCGCATGAGTTGCAAGTTTATCATAGGCTCCTCAGTTTACACTGGAGTCGTTTGAAAATCGGACTCATGCAAATTTGACTCCTGTACCCCTCTTATCGGTTAAAACCTCTCACGTGAACGGTCACATGGCTAATTATTATCATAGGCATGCGCAATACCAGCAATGGGTACGTATTCTTTAGAGTCTAAATTCACGCTACAATGGTACTTATTAACAAACTAGTCAACTAATGCGTTTTTGAAGTGAAAAAAAAACGGTTGCGGTTACGCTAGCATTATTTAGACGCTAAGCCACGTGAACGCCCGTTGCACGCGCATTCTGTGAAGCTTTGAACACGCCACTAAAGCTAGGTGCTTTTGGCGGTATAACTGCGCGAGATTTAAATGGTGGAAAGCCATCCAAGAAAACTCCGGGGACATAATATGTTTGCCAAGCAGCTAAACTTGAACTATTTGCCGTTTATTAGTACAATTGATAAAAACAAACAATTGAAACTTACAGCTCATAAAGCTAAACCTGGATCCTTCTATCAACATGATCTTCAACAACGGGTTCGATGTTTGACACTTTTGCGTAACTCATTAACTTAAACTCCTAGATTCGACGCTACGATCGTGATCGGAGACATTGATGATGGAACACATTAATGATGTAAACAAATGTTAAAGAAAATAATGATAGCGATAATGAGGTTTTTTTGAATTCATAAACGCCTCTCATTGTCCTACGAACTCGAACAGACTTGCAGGTGACAATGCTGTATTGGCGAATGTTTTGTTATCAAGCGATTTGCGCTATCGTGTGTTCGAACTGACGTTATGAGTAAGACGTCACACAAAACCATTTCGCTCGTGCAAACAATCAATGTTAAGTGCAACATCAGTATAAGTGATTAAGCCAAGTATGATGCAGCTCTCTGTACACACATGGCAATGACAACGTACGCCTTAAAAACATGCCCAATTTGTCACTGATGTGGACTGTAACGCTGTCTATTCCTACTCTTTGAAGCAAGAGACACCGGGGTTAAACTTCGAAATGTAAACAAAAAGTGACTGTTACCTTGATGAATCATACCTTTTAAATGTCAGTGTGGAAAAGCACTTACCTGAACAACTCATTAGCCTTGTAGATTTCATAATGTCAATGTTACAAATACGCACCATGTTTGTACACGCACTCTTATCTTTTGTCCTGTATTGTACTACTTGGTAAAGGGCGTAAATCCGGGTGGGGGGGGGCTTGGCTTGGGAGGATATTTTCCAAAATGTTTGACCCAACATTTTGTGATAAGAGCCAATGCATACCGATTTAAATAGTTATTCAATTACCTTCCATCAGGCCAAAAGTAACACTGCAAAAAGAGGAAAGAACACCACAAAGGCTTTAAGGCTCCGTCCCGATGTGATAAGCCCGCACCAGATTTCATGAAATGTGTTCCTCCCAAGTTTTTTTTTTAAATGTCCACCACCGGCTAATTAAAAAAAAGCCATCCCAATGCCCGCTCCCACTGTCTCTCAGGCACGGATTTACGCCACTCAGACCTAATATTATGTTATATTGTAAAAACGCACTCAAAGTCTTTCGTCAATGTCTTCATGTTAATGTTACAAGTAGCACTTCGCACATGCACTCTAACTGTACAGCACCACCTCACCTAATATCTATATGTTGTGACAACGCACTCAACGTCTGTAGTTGCGAAAGAAAGATCCAAGACGACCACCCAATCAATCAAATCAGATGAAAGTATCTGATTTTTTTTAGAAGAGGATGGAGAAAAACAATCTTACACAGTAGTATAAATGTGCATTTTGAAGACATTTGAAAACTTAAAGTGTATAAACTATGTTGGTTTGTGCAATGTTGGCAAATCATTCTGTCTCCTTTTTTTTGACTGCAGCCCTTATCACACTATAATGCCTAACTGATTGTATTAATACAAGTCAATTTACAGCTTTTGACGCCACATCACACAATGTTATCATTATCGCAGCACCAATTTGATTACTTGCACGGTATACCGGGTGACGTTGTGCAAGCAGACAACTGAAAATTTCTCAAAAAGGTATGCAACATCAGCATTCAATGTGAATGGAGTGTCTTGTTTGTACGCTTGTGTAAAATCACAGCAAGATTTGATGAAAATTCATTCACCCGTTGGAATATGATTTACACAGTAAATGAAATGACCCATTGTAGTGTGCCGGTTGAGCCATGGCCAATCCAAAGTGTAATACCCATTGCAATGGTTACAACACTTATCCTTTTATAATCTTTTACAGATCTGGTTTTCATGAATGGTTTTCCAATATATTTTCAAACATTTTACATAATTATAATGAACTTGCTCCATCAAAATGAAATACTCAAGTCAGGTACTTTTTGGGAAATCTAACGATATCTGCTTGCACAACTTCTGTTGGTGTCGCCATGTGTTACATTTTCCCAATTCCCATAGTTAAAGAAGTACACGGCAACTAAAAAAAAATTGTGAACCAAATAATTTAAATATTGGACTTTCCATTTGATGACGAGTTTTTTTTTTCAACAAATAAACCAGAATTGAATTGAACGGAATTGAATTGAATTCAACAACTTGCATAATGCACAGTGATTGACCCCACTGTATGTAGGCTACACATCTTACAGATATTATGCAAATCGGGATAGTTTAAAGAGCACAGTGACTTTAAAACTGCTTGCTTCATTGTATTCCACGGTTTTTCTTCCCACGTCGTCGTTTTTATCTCATTTTATAAGCTCAAACAGCCTGAAAGCCGTTCCATTTGATTTCTTGGTCCAGCAAAATACCTTCGCCTTTATGGCGGTATTAGGAGGGCACTGGTTTTGTACGGCCGGTATAACCCTTTTTGCGAATGTATTGTTCATACATTTAAATCACAAAGAATCATCTTCTGAGACACCCACAATGTGTAATGTATAATATCATGACAGAAAACGCAGTTTAATTCAAAGACCAAATTCTACTGTATTGTACCAAATTCTACCGCATTCTACTGTAGTGCTCGGCCCTGATGTATAGTCGGGGCGAGGGGGATGGGGGCGGGGAAGATCCGTCCCCCAGTTAAGGAGGATGGGAGGCTCACTGAACACGACAATCATCGGACGGGACATTTGTCCCTGATTTGCTCTCAATTGGATGATCATTTATTACGGTGACATCCAGTATGACAGGAAGCTTAAATAAATAGTAAAAAAATAATGACCCTACAAATAAAACATAATGTTATTTTGAGTTCTCTGCAGCATGCACATTTTACAGCTATCAAACTCTATAATTTATACCACAGAAAGCAAGACTGGCAGTAAGAATTTATAAAAAAACCTCTGGTTTAGCCTCACCGTGACGTCTTAAAGTTGGCCCCAAAATATCAGAAACATCAAATAGCGACGTTACTCCACAACGAGCCATCACAGCAAACAGGCCATGCTTCCGATCTGCAGAAGTTAAGCGTTGGGAGCTTTGCAAAAACGTGCAACTCGGAAACTAGAAGTGCAATGTATACAAATGTATACAATGTAAGCCACTTCCGGCCGATCAGAGTGTCGTCAAGAAGATGTTCGGTAGTTCAGTACGTGCGGGTCAAACATGTGATATAGAAAAGTTCAAAGGTTACCTAACTAGGAAATCTCCATATCTTAACACACAAACAAATAATAAAAATGTCGAAAAAGTGTGACTAGCGCTGAGCTTGGGCCGTTACAGAGACTCCAGCGTGTAATGATAACGTCATAAAAAAGTCTCCACGGTGATTTGTAATAGGTTGGAAGCTCGTCCACCCTGGGTCTACCATCGGGAAAATAATTATCTGAAAAGGCTCTTCACCATGTGGTTGGCCTCAGATGCTGTAAGTTTGGCTAGACATGTATCTATGTACCACGTCTTCTTGCATCAAACTTAACCCTCCAAAGGCCCTTTCTTCCGTGGTTACTTTGTTGTGTAGGGATCATGAATATTGATAAGCGTCTTCTGACGCTCCGCCCACTTTTCTCTCTCTCTGTTGTCTTAATGCGTTTTCTGTGAGCTGCCTCTTTGAATTTATGCCCAAAACACATCATTTTACAAGCTCCAGGAATCGAGCCAGACAACCCACACATACCAGGCTAACAATAATCAACTACTAGGTATGTTCATATTCATTTTTATGTTATGTCATTCTTATTATTGACACAAATGGGAATTTTCTGATGGTCTTGTCCGTGGACAAAGTCTGAAAACTTTCTCCACGTGATACGGTTCTCTGTGCACTGTACACGTAGCGCCACAGGGCATGTAAGTTGCATACATTCTGCACTGCATTGTTTCGATTCGCATGACCCTTGACCCCAGTTTATCACTGTGGCGCGCGTACATATGATTCTCACGTTACATGTATATCTTAGGGGCTCACAAAACAATAACAATAATCATTTGGGTACTTTTTCAGATGTAATTTGTGGGTTATTTAATATCATATCATCCCCTTATATGTCATTTATATTGTATAATTTTAACATTGTATTACAGAAGCTCTGTAGCCTCCCGCACCTGAGATTTACATTTGTATAACTGCACATAGACGAGGTGCTGGGTAAGTTTTATAGCTCCGTGCCATATCGGACAGTGACACTACATGCAACTGTATTCACATTCATGTTGATATAATAACTTTATTGTCAAGTGAATTCAAAACATTGTGTTTATTGTAATCACATGTATTTACAATTGTAAACACTATCATTTTCATTTAGGTTTTTAATTTGCTGGAACTAATTCGCCAGGATTATCTTGCTGGGATTATTTACTGGAACTAGAATAAAAGCTCAAAGAACATCAACATTTTGTACAGTCTTC